ATAGTTTCAAATTTCAATGAAGGTAGAATTTGATTATTTACTCTTCAAGATTTTTTTTGCTCGAATTATTGTAAATCATATAGAGATTTTGGAGGAAAATCTTGATTTTGAATAGTAAAAAAAAAAAAAAATTCGCGCACGGGGAGATATGCGCGCATCTCCCCGTGCGCGCCGTTTAGGGGAAAAGAAAAAACAAAACTGACAGTCGACATTTGGTTATTTTTTCTCTTCCCCGCTGAACCCTAATTGCAATCTCTTTTTCTCTGGCACGCGCAATCGATGCCACAGTAGCAATGAATTACAGGCTTCTCGCCGTCACCTCACATCATCATCATCCACCAACTTTATCCACTCCATCTTCGCCGGCAGCCTACTACATCGCTGTCGACAACCCACCACCATCATCGACCCATTAACACACCACAACACCCCTCGACTCGCCAATAAATCCATTCGACCAGACCCAGGTGCTGGCAACTCCAAGTCGCAAAAGCCCAACCACTCCGGCTGCCTTCTACCGTGGCAGAAGTCTGGATTTATTCTCGAAGGAACTGAATGGTATTTTTCCATCTCTCCTCCCTCTCTCTGTGTTAAAATCCATTGTATATTTCTGAGACTTATTAATCTCATCGCTTTCAGCCCTGCTAATCTCCGCCCAGGTACATATATGTAAACCCACAAAAATCTCAGATCCCCGACGAAACCGTAAGAAGATGAAACTCCTCTGCTAAGGGGATTATCAACAATTACAACAAAGAGCTAGCCATATTCGAAGGCGGTGATTTTCGTCACACTGGCTACGAGGAGCAAGAAGGTGAAGAAGAAGAAGAAGGATTCGTCGTGGGAACTTGGCCCGAATTTGAAGCTTAAACAGTTTTTCTCTTTCAATCGCTGGTAATTTCGAAACGTCTTGTTATTGCTCCTTTTTACCCTGCTATTCGCTGTTTGGGTTTTTGTTAATCGGAGAGGTGGGTTTATGGGTTTTCCTGGGGTTTTCGTGATCTAAGTTTCTTGAATTTTACTTTCTGTTTTATTAAGAAATGATTTGATTCTTAAGTTAGTTTATTAGAGAAATCAAGATTCAAGAAAGGTTTTCTTGTTCACTCGTTCTGTACAACTTTATTGTTTGAGATTACACTATTAAAATGCTTTTTGCATGATAGATATTTAGGAATGTTTCTATGCTGAGAATGTGGTAGACAGAGAGAGTGATTAGCAATTTGACGTGCTTAATCTCTACCAATTGTGTATTTTCGTTATAAGTATGAAATTTCCATCTTGTTTGAGCCTTTAAAGCCCCCAGTAGTGGCCAGCACCGTTCAGCTTAGCCCCTTGACCACGTTAGCCGCTGGTGCAGTTTAACAAAAGTTTGAAGTAAATTTTCTTTCACACTACAGGATGGTCTTCGTCAATTTAAAGTGCTATAAGTTTATGTCTTCCGTTCGTCTGTGCAGAAATTAGAAAGAAAGGGTAGTAGTAATGAAACCACCGTTAAGGATGAGTTGTAGATTGGGTTGAGGTGCTGGCTTTAGAGGGGTGTTCCCCCGCGAGATTTTATACTGGTAGAAGGCTAGAGAAAGAAAAGGTGCCTGTGTTGATGGTTCCTTTTGAAGAAAAAAATTGATGCTATTGGGGACGATATATGATAGTGGTGCATGGATAGAGAATTAAGAATGTTAGGGAAGAGATGCATTAATACCAAAGAGCCAAAATGTTTAAAATAGTTTTTCATTTTGGATTGTTTTGAAATTGGTTGTGAAAATTAACTATAATTGCTAAATGGTATGTATTTATGTGTATTCGACCTCCATTTTGACTATCATCAGTTACATGGTTTGTCTCCTTACGTTATAACTGTCTGGTTCACTTGTTGGTATTACCAAGTCATTGGAAATGTTCTTGAATAATTACTTTTGTCTTCGATGGTTTGTCTTTGAAGTATATCTTTGTAGCCATACAATAATGTGCTAGAACTGGAACTTTATTATCTTCATTCTCATCATTGCCA